TGATTCAATGTGCTTCTAGTGATGGGATGTTTGTGTCTACATGGCCAACCACTTCTACCTGCTCAGAGGGCAGTCTTCGACCAAGTTCCCCTTTCATTTTATGAAGGGCCAGAAATACGTTTCTTTGTTGGTCAACCCTGGTGCATCTCACCGTGTCCCCAGTCAGTGGGTTCACATAGGCTTGTCCCAATGCCGTGCACCTGACAGGCAATGGCGGCCGAGGCATGCCGACCCTGCCTGACACTGGAGCAGATGTAGCAAGCGCCGTGCCGCTAGATGTGGAGAACGGAGTATTCGACATATTTTTCAGTAAATGGCCTGGACAGCAAACAAAAATGCTGTGACCGCTTCAGAAGATGAACATCATGTCGAAAAGCTTTGACAAATCTTCTTGAGTGCAGTATTTCATCACACGATTGCATTTGGCCCCTGTAGCATGGGAGTCATGGCCAAAGATGGGCCATCCGTTTGAACCGCAAGGCTTGTAGTGTGCTGCCCCCCCTCTCAAGCAGAAAGCTGTAGAAAAGCTGTGTTTCATAGTGGTGTTGCCTTTGCTCCCCTTTAAAAGCAGGTCGCAGGAGTCCCTTTTGCAGGAAACATCAGTTTGTCCAGGATTATGGGCGATGTTTTGTGGTCGTTGAAAGTAAAAGACTAGTGGTAGGAAACTTCTCCCTTGGCACCTCGGCACTCCCTTGGCCTCTGGTCCTGTCGAAGCTGCAGGTGAACCGCGTCAGCGCCCGGGGAGTGCCCGAGGAGCCTGTCATTCTCGTGCGTGATATGAGTGAAGTTCGTGGTCCCCCATTTCTTTCATGTTCTACGCGGGTTGCCCGCGAGAAGGACGCCCGCCCTTTTTGCTTTGAGGCATCCCGCCTGTGAGGGTCCCCTCAGGAGCGTTGGGCGCGGGACTTCGTTGCCGGCCGCGTGCAGCTGGCCCACGATGCGCGGGAGTGCACCGTGGCCGAGGCGCGGAAATCGCGGCCGTGCCATGGGCAACACGACAAATTTTTAATAGGGCGCTCTACATGGCTGATGGCCGATTTTTTGTGTGCTTCACTTTCGGGCCGCCCAACCAACAAAGGGGGTGGCAAAGAAAAGCTTTTTCAGCTTCACGGCATAAGAATGACCAGCAGACGACACCACTCCATTCATTTTTGGGGTTTCGGGCTCGATTTCTCGCGGCACCCTGGCTGAGCTGAGGGCATCTCCCTGCCAGGCTGTTCAGGCGGCGGCGGACGGCGAAGTAGTACCTGAGGAGCCCATTCCCATGGCTACCAGTGATTGCCGGGTTTAGGGCACCAGCTGCTCACCTCAAAAGGGGAATCTGAGGCCTCTGGAGCAGGTGGCTGCTTATGAACCTGGCTCCAAGTGATGGCGTCGACCTCATCCCTGGAGTCGGGCGAGTCGCACAGGACACCTTGCGGGCAGTTCTTGGCCGACACCTTCCGGTCCCTGATGACACGTGGGACAGATGCTCAGACAAGCAGTGGCTGTACTGGTGAATACAGCGGGTGATGGGTGGGGATCGGTGGGTGATGTGTTGGATGTGGATGTGGAACTGGTGCTAGTCCTGTCCAGTTCTATGGAATATGCACGCACAAAAACAGATGCTCAGGCCACGTATAAGTTTCTAGAGCAGATATCATATATAATATATATATATATATATCATTCACATGCGATTTCTTGAGTGGAACTCGAAGCAGTCCCTGAAATGGAGCTTGCTTGTGTGCACCAGCTTCAATCACCCAGTCTTCCATCAAAAAGACGAGCAGAGGGGCTCGCATATCTAGCACATTTACGACAGCTTTTGACACTCTCTCATTCAATGCGATGTGGCCCGCACCGCTGCCCCAAGGCCCAACTCCGGCTTTTGCTGGAGCGACGCTTTGACGATGGCCTTGTGCTTTGGAGGCGCGCAGACGGGCAGATCTCAGGTCTCTGTATCGGAATCCGTATGCTGAGCCTTCCGCAGCGGGCGGAGAACGGAAGTTTTCTTGGTCAGCTTGTTGGGCGTGGATGCGTGTGTGCGTGCATGTGTGTGTGTGTGTGTGTGTGATGTAATGGCTTCCACTTTAGCTGTAGTAGCCGTCGACAGAAGGAAGCTTCAAGCCTATGAATTGACTGTTGAATCGCAAAGCAGGAATGCGCATTGGTTTCATATTGGAACGTACAGCACTGGGGCGCTGTTTTCCAATCATACATCTCTCGGACTCTTTGAACATGTTACCAGTGACTGTGAAGATTCAGCTCCGAAGCTGTTTGATTGTCTGACTTGATTGATGGATTGATGGATTGATGGGTTGCTGGGTTGATGGGTTGATGGGTTGATGGGTTGATGGGTTGATGGGTTGATGGGTTGATGGGTTGACGGGTTGATGGATTGATGGATTGATGGATTGATGGATTGATGGATTGATGGATTGATGGATTGATGGATTGATGGATTGATGAATTGATGGATTGATGGATTGATGGATTGATGGATTGATGGATTGATGGATTGATGGATTGATGGATTGATGGATTGATGGATTGATGGATTGATGGATGATGATGATGATTGATGGATGGATGATGATTGATGGATTGATGGATTGATGGATTGATGGATTGATGGATTGATGGATTGATGGATTGATGGATTGATGGATTGATGGATTGATGGATTGATGGATTGATGGATTGATGATTGATGGATTGATGGATGGATGGATGGATTGATGGATTGATGGATGGATGGATGATGGATTGATGGATTGATGGATTGATGGATTGATGGATTGATGGATTGATGGATTGATGGATTGATGGATTGATGGATTGATGGATTGATGGATGGATGGATGGATGGATGGATGGATGGATGATGGATTGATGATTGATGGATGATGGATTGATGGATTGATGGATTGATGGATTGATGGATGATGGATGGATGGATGGATGGATGGATGGATGGATGGATGGATGGATGGATGGATGGATTGATGGATTGATGGGTTGATGGGTTGATGGGTTGATGGGTTGATGGGTTGATGGGTTGATGGGTTGATGGGTTGATGGATTGATGGATTGATGGATTGATGGATTGATGGATTGATGGATTGATGAATTGATGGATGGATGGATTGATGGATTGATGGATTGATGGATTGATGGATTGATGGACGGACGGACGGACGGACGGACGGACGGACGGATGGACGGATGGATGGATGGATGGATGGATGGATGGATGGATGTTAGTTGGTGACCGCCTGCTGGCGGTTGATGGTTGGTGGTTGTTCATGTTGGTTGTGTATTGTTTGCACGATGTGTGTTGCTTGTTGGGCACTGGTGGCTGGCTACTGGCTACTGACTGATGTCACCGGTGTGTGGTTGTTGGTGGTCTTGTGTTTGTCGGTTGTTTCTGGCTTGCGCGTATTACGACTGACTCGTCAGATGATGACGGTGACATTGAGGTTGACAAATATATGTTGCTGGTATTTGATATTCAATGTTGCGTCTTGGCGTCCGAGGATGGAACTGGGACACGTCAGGCGATCAAGGTCTATTTCCGAGGGTCCCTCATTTTAGGCTGGGTCATCAAAGTTTTCCTTGGAAACAAGCTGGAGTGGACCCCTAGAGTTCTTCCCCTTTGGAGGATGCAGGTTCCATTTTTGGTTTCAGGAGGGTCACTTCCATTTGCTTAAGACTATGTTCATTTCAACCTGTTGGTTTTCAAGGGGGATGTGTCACTACTGGAAATATGTCCATTTTTTCCAGGACACTGTTGCAAAGCGGAGGGTCACCCGGACCTCTTCTGGCCTCAAAGCCAGGCCCTTCCTTCAGTGGTCCTGCGGCTTCGGAGATGCTCCGCTGGGCACGGCCGGCGGCCCTAAGTGGCAGATTGAGCTGCGAGTCCGGCCCTCCCAAGCTGAAGGACTTCTGAGTCCAATCTGAAGTTCTGAGTCCAATCTCTCTGAGCAATCTGAAGTGCTGGGACTTTGCCCTTTTCGCTTTTCAAGGCAAAACGAGCTGGAGCCCAGAAAGGTGGAAGTTTGCCGACCCATGGACGCGCAGGAGGTTGCTGGCAATTCTCTGGTTCTTCCAGGTTGCGCCGTCCAGTTTGTTGAGCAGGCTTTTTCCCATTCCCCACAAGAAGAAGAAACTTCAAGCCGGAACCCTCAAGGTCGGAGACATGGTGTGCTCCAGAGTCACGGCGGCTTTGCGGAAGCAGCGGTCCTCACCCCAGGATTTGTCGCAAGCCCAACAAATCAGGAGCCATGACAGACCGGATAGAACTGTCACATGCAGCTGACGAGCTTCGCCCACGAGCCATTCACGCTCAGGAAAACTGCAGGAGAGCTCTTCGACTCCTTGGCTGGAGTAAAGGTGGGGCTGGGTGCGGCAGGTCTTGGGAATCCTGCACATGACATGCTTACTTTTGGTTTGCTTTGCGTCACCCGGTCCTTTTTCTGACACTTTTGTCGCATGCGCGAAAGTGGAAACTGGAGCCGCACGGAGAAACCGCCCGGTGTTCAGGCGGCAGTCTTCTGGCAAGACTTCTGTGCCTTCTTCGCACAGATGGAAAAGTCCTTGCCGGGGCCTCAGGCTGCAGGCTGCAGGGTCCTCACTTCTGCCAGGGTTACTCCCCTCAGGCCTCGGAAAATCGAAAAGAAGATGAACAGTTCTTTCTCCCAAGGCTTCCCTTCTGAGGTTTTGGGGAAAGAGCCATACCTGCGATGTCCTGCGTCTGTTTCTTGAAAGCGTGCCCTGTTTTGTCATGCTTCAATATGGGTTACAGCGGGAGGTTGATACCTTTGGACATCGCAAGTGCTCGGTGGCCCCACGAAGGCCCTGAGTTCAGATATCAGCACTCTTTGCGTTTGTTTCAAGACTCCGGTGCCCCAGCCGGATATGTGAGGGCCCCTAGCGAATTTTGGAGGGCCTAGGTTGATCTGCCGTACCTTTTTTTCAGCTCCCCCAAGGCTCGCATACCATCGATAGGTCGGAGCAGCAACTGCAAGAGCTCTGGTACAGCTTTGACAAGAACGGCGACGGCAGTGTTTCGAAGGAGGCACCCGACTACGCGGGGACCTCGCGGGGCGCGTTCTTAGGAGCCTTTTAGCCCAGCGGGTTGACATATGGTCACCTGAAAGCTCAAGCTTCGGCTGGATGATTCCATTCGAACAAGCGAGTCGGAACCTCAACAGCTGAGGGGTGGTTGCTTCGTGCCACGGGCAGCTTGCTGGTCACAGCGGCCGATACAAACTTGGACCTCTCACCGGACTCGAATACGGGCGTTTGACGAGCAGCTATTTTGTGTTTTCCAATACCCTCTCTCATATACATATATATATACACCTGTATATTTGGTTCATACACATGCATAGGCGCATCCCTCCCACCCTGACCTCGGCTTTCAGGTGCTTTTGCAGGTGGTCTTTCCGTCTCCGAGAGCGGCGTGTCAGGAGTTCACCCGGCGCATGGCGGAAGTGGACTCCGCCTCGAAGGAGGTCACCAAAGCGGTGTGCAGCCGCCCGGAGTCCAAAAGGACCCGAGCTGGAGAGCCAACAAAAGGGCGCCGGCGCTCCGTTTTTTGGTTTCCGTCCTTTTCTGCCCAAAAGGGTGGTCTCAAGAAAAGACACACCCATGTAATTAGAGACAATGGGTATGTGTCATTTGAGAGTGCTCTCGTTGGGGTTTTAGGGGAAAGCGAAGCCGGTGTTCTATTCTGAGACGCCTTTGAGGAAGCCCTTGGATTTGTTCCAACTTGGTATGGCATGCCTGAACTGAGCCGGGGAGGGGGGGTTGTTGCCCATGTTGGACATCGAAGAGAAAACAACCGAAAGGCGTTAGAAAAGCAGGACCCCTGTATGTTTCATGCTTCAAAGCGTTCAAAACGGAAAATCAAGTTGAAGCAGCAGGTAGCTCACAGTGTGTGTGTGTGTGTGATCATGGTTTGTCTGACACAAGAGAGCTGTCCAAGAGCGAAGGCAAACAGCCAAGAAGCATTTCTACGAAGACAGGCCTTGTGTGCTTGAGGGGCCTTGGTAGTTCCCATTGGGCTTGGTCGATCGACCGATGCGCTTGCTGAGGCATCAACGCTGCCCTGCGACGCGAGGGCAGGACGGCGGAAGCCCAAGAGCGATTGGCATGTCACCGGTGGTTTGCAGCCAAAAAAGGCCTGCCTCCAGTCTGGAGAACAACACAGGAAATCTTTTTTTTGTTTTTCCAGTGAAGTTTGGATCTAGGGCTCAGATGCCATTGTGGCAGCCTTGGGATCTGTTTTGAGCCTCTTTCTGCGTGGGCACCTTGCTTGGCTGCTTGTTGACGTGGGACGGGCCGTGACAGGTGGACCAGCTGTTCGAGGCACTGGCTGGCGTGAAGGCTGGTCTCTTTGTGACCAGGCATACCCTTGCAGGGTCTTTTTTTTCTTTGAGGGAACGCCCCAAAATAAGAGGTTCCCTGTTGGTTGCCTTTTGAAGCCACCCCAAAAAGGATTGGACTGTCTGCGGTTTCTGAAACCGCCCTTACTCCTCTCCCCGGAATCTTGGCAAGGTTCGGCGTCAAAGACTTGAACCAAAGAGTCCTTCACCTTTTTGCGGTTGACCAAGAAATGGGTGTGCCTTTTTGTTAGGCCCCCCCCAAAAAAACAACAACAACACAGAACATGAAAGGAAAGGTGGCTTTTCCTATTGGTTTCCCTTTGCTACAAGAAAGGAGGTACCAACTCCAAAACCGAAAACCCAAACGGGGCCCACACGTCTCTTAGGACTCCGGCGGCTCCAGGCGGTCGTCCATTGGCCGGACTTCCGCGCCCTCTTCTCACAGCTGGAGCCGGGCCGGCAGATCGGATCCCCCGGGGCAATCGATGCCTCGGTGGGGTTTGTCTCAAAATGCGGGCGGGGGAGGGGTACCCAAAGATTTTCCCTTTTGGGTTGGGTTTTCCTTTTGATTTCCCTTTAAACCAACCCAAAACTCCTCAAACACATGACGCGCCCAAGTTGACAAAGAGACCCCCAGTGTAGAAACCCTCCTTCCGGTCCCTTGATTCCCGGGATGAAGACTCAAAAGTAAAAAACATCGCTTCGGAAGCCCGGTTGCCCCTTTCAGGGGAGAGGTTGGGGTTGCCGACTCGGTGGGTGTCGAGAGGATGAAGTGCGGCCTTTCACAACCCATTTTACGGGGCAGATGCCCTTTTTGGGCTGGTTTACGGGAAACCAACAGGAAGCTAACCAGTTGGGGGTACCCCTATTTTGAGACCCCACAGCACCAGTTTGGTTGAACCTGGCCATTCGCTTGAAACCTATGTCAGACGCGATTCCACACTCGAGCAGCTCCTTGAGATGTGTTTGCTTCGTCGAAGAGGGTTTTGACTGTACCACGTTCAACTACAACTAAATCACCCTCATTGTTTTGCAATAGGCATGTTATCACCTGAACCGAATAGACTGCTTTGCTTCAAGTTGATCCTCCGTCCTGCCAGATGATCGTTTCCTTTGTAGCGGTGTCCCACGACCGGGGGATCCCCCATTTGAAGAACCCAGCTGGGCGTCGCCGGGTGCGAACGGAGGCCCACGCTGCGGGACGAGCAGCTGGAGCACCTCTGGCGCTTCTTTGACACGGCGCGGTCCTTCAGCTTCGGCTTTGGCCGGAACGGCGGGGAACGCTGCAGGAAGCACCCCAGAAGTGGCAACCCGAGGCAAGCCAATCACGAAGGGTCACTAATGTTGCAAAACCCATTTTGGGATGTTTCAAGATGAGCTGGACCTGTTTGGGACGGTTCCAAAAGGCAAGGAACAAGAAACTAAGCATATATGAGAGACTGACACATCATGTCATGGTACTCAAACAATTTAGGTTTGTGGGTGAGCAACCATTGCGCACACACACACACACCACATTGTTCGGGAGGGTCGGCCTTCCTAGCCTCCATCTTTTGTTGGGTTTCTTCCAAAACGAAGACTTGGTGGGTTGGCAGGACGCTATTTCCGCGTTAGCAAGATTGACATGGGTATGCCTCTAAATGAATTTTGACGACAGCTGGGCCAAGGGTTCACGTTTGCTTTCCTAACACGGAAACTTCAACGTGGTTTTCACGTGTTTAGGGGAACGCTGAGAATACCAGCGCCAAACCCAACAAGCCAACCCGCTAGCTTCACCGCATCCAAAATCGTACCCGAAGCCCCCAAGCAGCTGAACCAGCTCCAAATCTGCTCAAAACAGCAGACTGGAGCTGAAGCCGACACACTCCCGATGTAATCAGGGAAGCACGAGAGTATGGAACCCAGCAAATGATGAAGCATGGGAAGACTGCAAAGTATCCAACGTGTAAGCAGGTGAGCAACTCACTATCCTGCAACCCGGAGTTGAGGGCAAGGTCTTGGGGTTGAGCGGTGTGAAAGCAGAATGCTTGTTGAGAAGCTTATGACCGAGAGTTCAAGTACTGACCGAATTTCATGTGGCTGTCTCGTCTGTTTTTCTTGCTTCGGACAGGATGGAGATGGGGGTGTCTCACGCGAAGAGTTTCGGAAGGCCAAGCATGGGGCTTGGGAGGGGACTCGGTGACTAGGATCGCTTGGCCACCGTTTGCGGAAATTGAAGTTTGCATGCATGTGTGACTCTCCAATGTCACCAATGAGGTGGCAACAAGATGTGCCGCGAGAAGCCACTCCAAGGCTTCCCCTGTTTCTTCAGGCCCTACGGGTCTCAGCTTGAGTCATCGAAACGACATAAAGAAAAAGGCCGTGCCTTGGGCAGGGGATCGAGCATCGCGCGAGGCGCTATCAGATGTTGGCATTGCGGCTGCTCCTGTTACCCAACCAGCGTCGCTGCCTTGGACACGAGCTTTGCACCGCCGTGCTCTTGTCCTGCGGCAAAGCCATGCTGGCGGCCTTTGGCTTGGGATTTGGAAAGCTGGTTTGTGACATTCAAGGGTCTTGAGCAGCCAGGTCCTTGGCTTTATCTTTGCCACAGACAGACTGTTCACAGAGGACCGCTTTCATATTCACGCGAGGCCTTCTCCGGCGCTCAGCAAGGCGCGCATTCGCTCTGCCAATCATTAGAGTCCTCAGCCCCGCGCTGAACGCGTCTTAGCCAGCACCAAGTACTTGGCGGTGTTTTTTTTACCTGGGAGACGCTTTTTGATGGCGCTGGAACATGCCTGGCTTCCCATCCCTTTGCCTCTTGTGCCTCAAAGCAGTCACAGGCCGAAGCACTTCAGGAGCCGGGCGTGGGCAGAGGGTGCGCGCGTGTGGAAGCAAGATGGAGTAAGTGGGTTGAAGTGAATAATGTGTGTCCAAATGGATAGTCAACAAGTTTTGCAAGATTACGATTTTCATCGATGGCCTGGCTGCACTTACTATGCGCAGGTTGTAGCGGAACATAGAGTCCGTGGGTTTTTTGGGGACTCTTGTGTTGTGGATGCCCTGCGCCACAAATAGCAGGCATCACAGTCATCCACTTGCCTAAAGACACACAGAATCAGTGTGTAATCCTAAGTGGCGTCTTCCAGGGCGAGATTGCCATTTCAATATCTGTGCGGCGCGATCAGATATACGTTGGGCAGCCGTGTGACATCTGGGAAGGCCACCAGACAGAGCCTGAACATATGACAGATATCAGAGATAAGATAGAGGTATATGATAGGCCCCAAAACAGGTGTTCTTTTTTAATGGTTTTCCTTTGAAACCACAAAAAGGAGGCAGCCTCAAGAAAGACAGACCCAAGTCCACTGATTTTTGAGATGCAAGTCGTTAGTCCAACGTGTGCTTGGAAATCAGTATCCTGAGCTACCAGGAAGTGTGCACCCGCATCAGCACTGCCCTGCAGCAGAAGGCATGTCGGCATTTTAGACTCCGTTTGGCTTGCCCAAGAGGTTTGCATCGGCACTTGGTCGGGCTTCAATTGTGTGAGCCGCTCGGTTTGATTCCATGGAGAAGTAAGCCTGACATTGCCGCCGTGTTGGGATGTTTCACCCACAACTTTGAACCTCCCGCACGACTCCTTGGGATGTGTCTTCCAAAAGAGGAGCCTTGACATCGAGGAACATGCGGGCTTGTGCCATTTTCGTAATCCGCCTACCGCAGATATCAGAGAAGGATGCTTCGCACGCTTTGCATGGAAATAGCTTGGCACACACAGACCAGCATATGCCACAGATGGCCAGGGATGACCAGGATATCTAAAACGCATTCACAAAGAGAAGTGCCTCAATCCGTAATCAGATTGTGAATAAGAAGCGGTTTCGACCTACATCCATTGTGCAGTGAACAGGGTTTTCTGAACTAAAGGCACAGGGCAGGCTCATGTCTCATCCGGCAACCAAACAACCTGTCAACTTCAGGGCAAAACCTTGAGACAAGAGCAACACATGCTGAAGTTGGGTCCAACAGGTTGAATATGTCGTGTTTCGCCACGAGGCTGGTAATTCGTTCCCCTGAGTACAGACCTCAGTTGATTAAATTATATCCGGGGGAGGAACAAATAGACTATTTCTCATAGGGTCAGAATTTATTGAGACATGTCCTGCTGCTTTCACAGGGGCGCAATATGCATTTCCGTTTTGTTGTTTCTCCATGGGCACATGGCCATGGCGCGGGCGATTCTGTTGCCGGGGCCCGGCCCCGGCTTTCCGGGGCTGCCGCGGCCGCCTGCTGCCTTAGCAGCCAGGCCGGGCTCTGGGGGGAGGGGGGAAAACGCGATCTAAGGGGACTGGTTAGTCCACGGTTCCTTGGAGTCGCGATTTTCTGTGGATCTTGGCATTTTCAAGGGCTTGGAGTTATTGGAGTCGTGAATTTCTATGGATCTTAGTGGCATCAAGGGCTTGGGAGGGGTGCCGGAAGTGACGCCATCGCCAGGACCTGGGCACCTCGGAGGCTCACTCGCCGCGCGGAGAGCGAGGCTTTGGGGTCACGTGGCGTAGCAACCGCGAAGTGAAGAAGGCGGAGGTACCTAGAGTCGCCATGACCCTTTAAACATGGGTCAATGACCCCCCATAATTTTGGGTAATGCCCCCATTTTTCAAGGGTCATGCAGACTCCAGGGTTTGTTTCTGGTGGGTGCTCCTGCGTCTCCCCGGTTTGTGGTGCGACCAAGATTGCTCAGGTGAAAGGCAACGCACTCTCTGGCTTGATTCGGCCAGATATTCTGCTTTCCGGACACCAGAAGACGCAGGTGATCTACGGATTTCTAGGTTCTTTCAGGAACTTCCAATTCTGGTAGCAAATTGGAAAGACATTTATTTTCTGGGCCTGCGGCCTCTAGCCGGCTACGCCTCTTTAAAGTTATACAGTTATACCATGTCACGTCATGTTTTTTGTATGAGAAACGTAGCGTGTGCTATGATATGGCTGGTTAGGTTATGCATGTTGCCCACCCTAACCCCAGATGATGCCGGGGATGCCAGCTTTCTGGGCCCTAGCCGGGACCCAACCCAGAAGGCTGACATGGGGTCGCGCCAGAGGCCGCAGAAAGAGCAGCCCAAATAGAACAGCCCGCAAGCCAGCCCGGAAACGCAAATGCAACAAAACACCGTAAATAGCAGCGTGTTGTGGCTGGGGTCGCGCGCGCGCGCGCGCGCGCCAGAAGGCTCGAAAACCAACGCGAAAAAAGCAAGGATCGCGCAGCGCGCGAGCCAGCCACAGCAGAAGCAAAACGGACAGAACAACAGCCCACCGCTCAGCACAGCAGTTTTTGACGGTATTTACAGCGTTTTGTAGAGCGAGGACCATCGCCGGCATGCCCGGCAGCGCTTGGCGCCAAAATCCGCGAAAATGAGCCTCGCTTATATCCCTCCGATACCTTCTAAAAAACAGTGCTTTTTGGGTTGACCCAGCATCGCCGGCATGCTTGGCGCCAAAATGCGCAAAAATGAGCCTCGCTTATACCCCGTCGATACCTACTTAAAACAGTGCTTTGTGGGTGGAGAGGCTTTTTGGAAGGAAGTCTTGATGATGCAGACCAAGCCCCGCTGAAGCATCACCCGGGCCCAACCCCAGACCCTGACGATGTCAGCCACATGGCCTAAACCCTGCATATACGCGATGTTTCGCGAGGGTTTCCCACAGTCAAGCAAAACCGCAAGCCCGAGCTGGTGATGCAGAGGTGCCGGATTTAGGCCGCGCATCACGACCAAGTGGCGAGGGTCGGCGGCGCCAGGGTGCAGCCCCTGTAGCTAAAGCTAGCAGGCTAATTGCCTAGCGGCGACATGCTACCCCAAGGAGGCGTAGCCGGATTTACACGCTGACGCGACACAGCCGGCCACCGGGCACCTTGCCCTGCCCGTTCTGTCACTTCCCTTTCCGGTAAGTCCGATGAGTAGATGTTAAGATTAAAAAAATCTAAAAACTTTGAGATTCTAAGGGTCTCAGATTTGAAGACTTTCGGAATTGAAGGCTTCAATGGTTTAAGAATTAAGGTTCTAAGATTCGAAGATTTAAGGTTTTTGAAGGTTATAACAGCCAGGCCATTGCCCAGCCATTTTCCATCCATTATCAGATTTCGAAGGCTCTAAGATTTTATTTTTTGTGAGATTTTCAGATTTGGCGACTTTCGGAATTTCAGATTTTAAGATCTTAAGATGTCAAGACTTCAAAATTTCAAAATTAAGAGTTTAAGGAATTTAGAATATAGCCCGGATTGAAGGAATTTTATTATATTTTACTTGTTTATGAATTTAAGATTTTCAGATTGCAATAGTTCGAGATTTAAAGAATTTAAGTTTTTGAAGCTTTTAAGATTCTGAGATTTCAAGATTTTGTGAATTTCGGGATTTCATATTTTAAGATTTTAACATCTGAAGATTCAACGACATGATGGTTTTAAGAAGTCAAGATTCGAAGACTTGAGGATGTTTATATTTTCAGGTTGCAAGATTCTACCTTCTAAGGTTGTAATTTTAAGATCTTAAGGTTTCAAGATTTCAAAAATTCAAGATTAAGAGTTTAAGGAAGTTAAAATATAGCCCGGATTGAAGGAAGGTAATATTTTAATAATTTAAGATTTTCAGATTTCAATTGTTCGAGGCTTAAAGAATTTAAGTTTTTAAAGCTTTTTAAGATTCTGAGATTTGAAGATTGTAAGACTTTAGGAATTTCATATTTTAAGAGTTTAAGATCTCAAGATTCTAAGACATAAGGTTTTTAAGGTTTCAAGATTCGAAGACTTTAGGACGTTTTTTATATTTTCAGATTTTAAGATTCTAAGTTCTAAGATTTTAAGATCTTGAGATTGTAAGATTGATTGTTAGATTTTAATTTAAGATTTTCAGAATCTAAGACTTTAGGATTTTGAGATTTCAATCCAGGCCATTTTCCATCCATTTTCCATCCACTTTAGATTTTAAGATTTTCAGGTTGCACGTTTTCGGCAAAATTGGCCCGACTTAGGGGACAACAGCATCCCCCGCATCGCCAGCATGCATAACATCATCCGCATCATCCGGGATGATGCTGGCATTGCTGGGGGTGTTGTCCAGTATTAGGCACCCCCTAAAAATGCTCGTTTTTGGACTCGTTTTTGGGCGCTGCGGGGAGATGCTACAAAAATCCCCGAAAATCGCCTAAACCAATCCGCGAATCCTTCGCCCCTTATAAGGGCAGGCCCAGCACAAAAAGGTATGCGCATGGTCCGCGCATGGTCCGCGCATGGTCCGCGCATGGTCGGCGGCATGGGGCGCACGGCCTTATACCTGAAGGTAAGCCCTACCGGGCTTTGGCCTGCGGCCCGATCACGTCCGGTGGCCGGATTTAGCAGGCTGACGCCTGATGCCGCCGACCCCCGTAACATCATCATCATTAGCATCAGCATCATAATCATCATCGTCATCACTCATCATCCTCAGCACCAGCATCAGCACCCTCATCATCCATCATCAGAACAACATCACCATCGGCGTCAGCGCTCAGCATCATCATCATCATCATCATCACCATCATCATCATCCACCATCTCATTTTCATTAATTAGCATCATCATCGTCAGCGGCGTCAGCAGTATCCTCAGCATCCATCATGACAATGATCATCGGCATCATCATCATCGGCAGCAGCATGATCATCAGTATCATCAGTCATCAGCATCATCATCATCATTCTTCATGAGCAGCCTCAGCATCAAACATCATCGTTATCGTCTTCGGCATCATGACGGTCAGAGGTTAAGGTCAGGGTTAGAGGTTAGAGGTTAGGGTTAAAGGTCAAGGTTCGAGGTTAGAGTTAGAGGTTAGGGTTAGAGGTTGGGGTTGGAGGCTCGGGTTAGAGGTTAGAGGTTAGAGGTCAGGGTTAGAGGTTAGGGTGAGAGGTTAGGGTTAGTAGAGGTTAGGGTTAGTCAGGGGTTTAGGGTTAGAGTAGAGGTTAGGGTTAGAGCATGATGACGACGCTGATGAGGATGAGGATGATGAGGATGATGATGATGATGATGAGGACTTGACGATGATGATGACGATGATGATTATGCTGATGAATGATGCTGATGATGAGGATAATGATGAGGATAATGATGATGATGATGATGATGATGATGATGATGATGATGATGATGATGATGATGCAGATGATGATGATGATGGATGATGATAATGATGATGATGATGATGGATGATGAGGATGATGAGGATGATGATATGGATGATGGCAGGTTCTGCATCCCGCGCAGATGTAACATTGCCCCAAACACTTGCAGGACGATGCTGGCGAAGCTGGGGATCCTTTTTTCCCAATTTTCGATGACCAAAAAGGCAGCTCCAGCATCCCCAGCAGGCAAAGCACCTGCAGCATGACGGGGGGTCAGACACCTGCAGGATGATGCAGGTGAAGCTGGGGATGCGCAGGCTGCCT